ACACAAGAGATTCACTTTATTTTTCTAAATTTATTTCTTATAGCTTTAAAAGTAATCGAATTTTCTAAAGGTGCAAACTTTTCTTAATCTTATTATAAACCGCAATTCTTGTACCAAAATAAAATAAAATTTTTGTCAAACCATCCACCAGGTGACCTGATACAGTCTGTTACTTTAAAACAGGAACGTCAATTAATTATTCGCTCACCGATTTCCATCGTAATCATGGGAACGACAGCTGCAGTAAATGAATAGAATTGGCTAATATTTTCACTCCATTTTATTTTCATTTAACTATTTTGTTTCATGAAAAGAGTATGACTGAAGGCTGACTTGAACTGCAGTCTCAAATGAGGTGGAAGAAATAAGTGCTGTGCTGTAATGATGACATGCATTACTATCACAAATGAGGAGGGTGGTAACAGCCTTGAAGTAGCTTTTTTTAATCTAACAAACTACAGCTTAGCGATATTTTTGATGAAGTTCATGATAGTTTTCATGACGAATTTTCTTTACATTATAAGGTACTTCTCCCATCTTCCTAGCGTGCCTTCGTGGTGTAGTGATCAGCAAACTGAGCCGGTATTTCAGAGGCACGTAATTCGATTCCCGGCGAAGGCGTTTGTTCAATTTTCATCTTGTCTGCTTCCAAAAATATCCTAATGTCTCTACAACATAAAAAAAGGTTTTTAAATGTAAAGGTGCATTTTAAGCATAATGTAATAATTTTGAACACTTAAAGGTATAAATGCACCATTCAGAACTCTAGAAAATGATAATCTAGAAACGACATTAAAAGCTTAATTTACTTATTTCATAAGCGATTAGTAGATCTTTAAAATCAACCGACACTGCCAAAAGTCAGCACAAATAGATGCAGTATCATACGCTTATCGAAGCTGTTCATTTACAACAGCGTTGGCCATTAGTCGATCGCCATCGACCAGTGGACCGGCAAGATATTTTGGGGTGACCACCTTTACTAAGACCTAAGACGCGTAAATTAAAAGAAGCTTATTTAAGGAACACCGAAACCAGCTAGACTGGAGAATCATCTTTTCACAATCCATGCGACTGTGTTTGCTTAGGCAAATGATTCGATGTATTACATTTGCGGCTATTAATATTCTATTTGCATCTTGCATTTTGCTTTAAACGCGGTTTTAGAAGATCAAAGTTTTTAGGCAGAGTTAGGTAGGCACTTAAATATTTCGTATTTATTATCAAATTATTATAAATGTTATAGACCTTCATTTAGCTCACCACACCTAGATGACTGGGTGGACTGAACACTTAAAAAAAAATAGATGTAACTTGTATCATGGAAATGTCTGCCCACGCCTGGTTTACAAGTTTACAGGCTATTATGAATAAACTGGATAATTTTCATAAAGTTCTGATAATATTGTTATCATTAATCTTGATCGAAAGAATAAAATATTAGCAAAGTAGCCCTGTTTTCTAACGAACAATGAAGCAGTAACTTGGTCCTAGCGTGTTACCTCTACAATCTGATCTTCTTTAAATGTGGTACCATAAATTTTGATAACGATAGCGAATTAAGCTAATAAATATGAAGTAAGCTGAAACAATGTATAAATATTTTGTGGCTCTATCGGAAGATCAAGAGCAATTTTCCTTGATTTTAATTTTTTTTCATTAATACTGTTGCCTAAGTACATGATTGAAAAGCACTAGATCACCTAAACTAGCGAGCCTTCTTGGGAAGACTGTCACTATATGAAAAGAAATTGTGTCAGTTCCAACATTTTCGACATACTAGAAAATATAAAAATGTGAAAAGTTTGATCTATTGGCTGATTATGGGAATTTTACGTAAATAGCATATTTCGTCCATGTAACTCTGTGTAGTGGAGATATAAAAAATAATATAATAAATAGATCAAAAGCGCAAACTTAGGTTTTATTGTTAATACTTGGAACATTAAATTCTAAATAATTAATAAACAGTCAGTATTTAATTACTGTGGCTTTTGAAATTGGAAGTACTTTTTTAATAAACAATCCAATCAGAATTAGCTTTTGATGATGCTAAGAAAATTAGCTGCATATTAGTTAAACTTGAAAAATATTTTTTCTCTGAAATCGAGACAAAAAAGCAACATTTTGTTCACAAAAGACGATATGTGACCAAACGGTATAGGTAAAATGTAATCTTTTCCTATAATATAAAATTTAAACTATTTTAAAGTCCCATAATGTCGGTGAGAAAAGCTTAATCTCATAGCAAGCACTCACTGGGCAATTCATTTTCTTTCTGATATTTTAAAACATGCTCCCTCAAATTCCAAAATCTAGCCAGCGCACTTCCTTGGAAAGACTAAGTACATTACAATGAAGGAATAACTCGCATTTCTTTTCCTTTTCCTTCAGGGAGAAGCTCACGTAATCGTTGTCGATTCAAAGCTCGAGCTCGCATTTTGTTCATACAACACGCTACAGTGTCAACCACAGAAGACAGATGTAAGACTATGCCACAAAAAGTTCCTTGATGGACAGTACAATGATACTTAAAAACTTTTCTTACCAAATATTTTTTTTTCAAATGGCAGATTGTGAACAATTACAAATGTAACCCCGTCCATTAATCTACACAAGGCCGTTTACGTTACATATCTATACACGGTCGTATACAAGGCAAGTGTTATACGATTTAAATGACAACACGCTGGCATGTGGAAGATAAAAGTATTCTATAGCATGCCGCTGCAACACATTTATTTTATAGAGCCGAGTTTGTTATAGTAAAACTAAAAGATAACTATTTTATATATTTTTTGAATGGCAACAGTCTCGCGCGCTGGAGATAAAAATGTTGTTTTTGGAACTGTTGCTGCTGCTCCTTTTCAAATCTTTTGAGAGTTTGTTAATAAAAATTTCATTAGCATTTTACAAATTTGTAATAAATAATAAATCAAACATAAGTCATAATTTATGCTTCCACGTGAAGCTCGAGTGAAGGACTACGTTACTCAAAATTAGATGGCTCTCGGTACCATCGTTTTTTTCGCAATGCGAAGAACATACATACACACAGATTCTTCATTATTCAGTTTCTTAAAAAAATACAGGGCGATACTATTTGATGGAAACAATTTGAAAAGTGATACGCCGTTGATAATTAATAGACTCAGTATCACATTTCAAGACTAATATCCTTTTTGAGGTTTCCACTTAATAAAAAAATTAAAGTATGTCCTTTTTATTCTTTAATTAGCTGTAGCAGAATGCGATACAATTCAAAATTTTTCCCTAATTAAAGAAATTATTTTCTATATAAGAAAACGTTAAACGTTTAAAGATCAAACCACTATGAGAATAAGCTCACAATATCATTTTTTTCATCGTTGTTACGTGGCATTAATACAAAAAAATATTAACAAAATATTACTATTTTATGGGATAAAAATGTGTCAGATATTTCGAATAACCGTCGTAAATAGCATTACACAAATTAAAGAAATGTAATAATTAAATATTAACTCTATCTAACATACATAGAAAATACAATATCAATAATCTTACTAATTTGGTTGACATTAATCTCAATTTAAATAAAAATAATAACAAAGGCAGCTTATGTATTATATTATCTTTCTTTAAAATTTTTCTAATGTTGTGAGAAATGTTCTGCTTCGATATATATGTATAAATTCACTGTGAGTAGCACAAAACACCCGTTTTATTTTTCAATAATTTCATCTTAGTTTCTTAGTGATTAACAACATTTTTTTTTATTATTATTTCTGAATAAGGAAAATGAAAGTAATCATATTACATTTTTGTACTTGTAATTAGAATACACTTTTTTTAATTATTATTATTTTGTAGTTGGTTGAGTTTTTGAAATTCCTCAGTTCTGTTAATGAATTCAAATAAACAAAAATATCTGTTTTATATGATTTATGATTAATTCATACACTTTTAATAAAAAAACTCGGTTTATAAAGGAATATTGTATGTTACATAACCAGTTATTTTAGTATTGTAGCTTTACTATAATTTCTACTTTCATCAACTTTCACCAGAATGCAACTTGATTAAAATATGCATAAGATCCGAGTTGATTTTCCAGACAGCACGTAACCACGTGGGCTTGTTATCACTCTGTTTTAATTAACGATTTAATTTCTTTGCTGTTGCTTTCTAACTTGCCTGCATAATCTTCTGGTAGCCATGATTACTTCGCGAAGACGTACTTAAGGACGAGCCAAGATTTCGTTCGGAGTGTAAATTTGATACTTCGCAATCTGTTTAATTAGCTTCTGTCTCCTGGTTACAAGCAAGTTAACGGTATTTCTGTTAAACTTTGAGTTTAACAGAAACAACGATCAGCTCGATGTATTAATAAACAGTTTTATTTTAACCTTTAAATTTTAGTTGCGGTACTTGTAGTTGAAAGGCAGATGGGATGGAAAGATGTGTGAGAGTTTTTACTCTGAAGTGATATACATCCAGAGTTAATTTAAGGTTGAATTCTACTTAATTTTAATGTTTCAAAGATGTTTATAATTTAAGAAAACTCATTATGTGCATTACATTTCATTATTTGCTTAACGTGGTAGAGATATTGAAATTGACAGTACATTAATCTTAAACAATCATATAGCTTTCCATTTAAAAAAAGTAAATCAATTTTATTTGTTTGAATACAAAACATTATTTGAATTATTAAAGTTGACCGAAATATCATTAAGCTGTTTATTTCCTGAAAAATCCTGAATATATTATTTCCTTAACTGTTATGTATATGAAAGGACTAATTAAAGACTACCCGCACCAATTACGCAGACCTCCGTCATTAAACTGACATAACTCGGAAAGCGGATATTCAGATATTGCTGCACATTTCACGGATATCGATCAGGAAATCTCTTCGTAACGAAGGCAATAGATAATACACAGGCGACGAAGAGCTATCTTCGTCAAAATTTCCATTGATGTAGTTTCCAATTTCCATACATTATTCTGCGACCTACCTCTGGCTTTCCTCCAGATAACACTGGGTGTAGGGAATCCTTCAGCAGAGCAATTCATCCACGCACTGCTCCCCAGTATAGCCGAAGTGTTCACAGGTTCAGCCAGCCACGCAGGAGGAACTGCAAATAAATACACAATAGATCAGGCAGATTTATCTGCTTTGGTATGCTGGCAGTCTATTTATATGCCGTTTTAGAGAAAAGCACCAATGCAACTCAGGTAGTAACTTCGGTGCTCTGGTACCATCCTGTAAATCAGAAAGAACGCTTTAAAATTTTCAGATATATGCGATTGATTGCAGTTTATATTTCAAAACGCACCGCATCAATGTCATTGTTTATAGTAAGTTTATTTTCCAAGTTAAAATTTAACTTGCAATTTATCTCACCTTTTACTAATATATTATTATACTGCATCACATAGAAGAGGTAGCCGGTTAGTTGTTGTACACTAGGATTTATTTTGCTTTCATATTATGAACTTTTTAGTTTGAATTCTAAGCGCCATTACAAAAATACGTAAAATTTTAATCGCAATCATCTTGCAATTTAGCAATTTAAAAGTTTTTGTCGTTTTAAATTATATTTTCTTCTATCTCTTTTGGCCTTAATCTCCTTTGTCTATTATGTTATATTCGCATTTTGCTGATGAGGAGCTATATCTTCTGTTTATGTTTGCTTGTATGTCTTTGTGCTTTTAAGTACATTTGTTTTATTTCTGCCGTGGGATACATTAATGTCCGATTTATGAGTTGCTATGTTCATGACTGAATACATATTAGTTCACAATTTAATCATTTCTAATATCTCAAAAATATTTTCAGTGTCTTGATTATTCTAATCCTTATTTTATATTAAACAGAAGCTTACCTAAACATAAAAAGGAAAGGCCTTCTACATATGCAGTGTCTTGATCATTCTAATCTTTATTTTACATTAAACAGAAGCTTACTAAACATAAAAAGAAAAGTCTTTCTACATGTTCTTTAACATAACATATATTATAATTTTAACAAGTACTTAATTATATAATTGAACATTGTAAATAATTTGAAATAGTAAGACATGCTGTACTTATTTGAAAATTATGGAGCATTTGCTTTTCCAGATTGTTTTAAAATATGAGCAAATCAGGATACTGACTCTTAAGACAAAGACACAGCCACTTGTAAAACAAACGAAAGACAGCATAAAGGAGGATAAGGGAAATTAAATCCCTTGAACATTCTATTAAAATTATTTTATATTAAAATTAGGCAATAAATATTTATCCAAAGCAAATATAATGAAGATAAAGTTTTATACGATTTATGAATATTATTTTAATTTAAAATCACGATACAGATGAAAACTAAAGAGTTTAGTTACTTATAACTACTGTCAGATTGAAACGCCTAGGTCACGTTACTGAAGTTATTGGCATTTAAATATTTTATACTTGTTCAGATAGTAATTTAGTTATTAGGATTGTTTTTTAACTTCTGTGTCGCTTAATACTTCTGTGCTAACCTGTGGGATGAGACTCGACATTTCCGAATTTAAGCATATATACAAAGTTACACAAAACTAGTATTTTCATTTACCATGAAGCCTTTAATTCCTTTTATTTTCAGAAAGGTTGCATGAAATCGCAACACCTGTAGCAATGTTTAACCTATGCTTTCTGCTTTTCATTGGACGAGGAAGAAGAAACATCTATTTTTGTTACCTTATTTGTTTATAAAATTTTAGATATTTTAAGTGATTCAATCATAAAAAATTTTCATTTCATTAGCAGCGTCCTTCTGGATTTAAGAGCGATCCCAATATCCCATATTCGCGATTGCTGTAATCGATTCTATTTCTAAAATCCCTCCCATTGCAAAAATGCTGAGAATGGCATATCAGTCTTAAAATGCAAACAGTTAATTTAAATAGATAAATTGACGTTTGGAAAATCATTTCTTTGTTTGGAAAATCATTTCTTTCTACCAGAAGACTTCGTCTTGATTAATCCTGAAGAATACACCAAACACAGACTTCGCAATATTTTAATAAACTGCACTTATAATAGTAAAAAAAATAATAGTAAAAATTTGAAATCCAAATCATAGTTTCACTTATGTTTGCCTGTCTTGGCTGTTAAGGCTGGGAAATACTGAATGTAAAGAGGTAATTATGAACATTTGGAAAGAAAATACCATACAGTGATTTTAAATAACTAAAGGTTACACACAAATTGTGCTAAAACTAAAAACGATAAGTTGTAAATTTAAATGTGTACTATATTTCGAATTTATGAAGAAATTTATTTTGCTTGTAAAAGATAAATTTACAATGAATAAAATTTCTGTAACTTGAAAAAAAATCACAACATACAGTTGTATGACTCAGAATATTTTCTTTAAGACGAATTTCTCATTTTTCTTCTTTCACACATTTGCTAAATTATATAAATTAACTCTGCGAATGTTGCGTTAGAATTAAGCGAATTTATCTGATACGTAATGTTTAGACCTCGAGGGGTTAAAGATTTACGTTTGGAACTCATGTAGGAGATTCATGCAATATTTGATTCTGATTTTCCCACCGAAATCTATCCACTAAAATTGTATTGATAGATACGGAATAAATATATCTAATAAAGTTTGTGAAACTAATTGCACTTTTTTTCGGATTAGCCATAAAATTTTCCAAGAAATTCCAAATATTGAACATAGGTTATGTGAAATAAAATTTCATACGTTAGTTAGATAGTATACTTCTAAGACGCATAAATTCTCTATTTAATTATTTAGTTTTCTTTTTCTTTTTATTTATTCGTTTATTTCTATTCCTTAATGTCTTAAATATATGCCTTTTTTATTAATTTATACTCAGAAGTACGCCATATCTTTAAATTTTAAAGAATTATTATGTCCACATAGAAATAACCGTAAAATTGAAACAATATACGTTTCTTACACTAAACCTAAATTAAATTCAGTAAAAGTTGCATTTTCGTTTCGAAGTAAAAGGTTTTCTATGAAATATGAAAATATCTAAAAATATAAGTTCATGATGCATAAATAATTTCATTCTTTTTATTTAATTATTTATTCTATTCCTTAATTTCTTAAATAATTTTCCTTCTTTTACTAATTTATACTTAAAAGATTGCTATAACTTTGATTTATAATGAAATATTTTCTCTAATCCATTATGCTATAAAGTACTTTCTTCTTCCTTTTCGCATGCATTCGCGATGAAACTGGAAGCACCCTCAACAAATATTCGGAAGATTCGGACTTCGAATCTTGGCGAGAGTAAATGTGGATTACTTCAGTTTCCTGACATCGAATAATTTTAAGCGGGAACCCGAACTAAAAGGTGGTAGACGAGAATTCTTCACCACTAGGATCTTACGGACTGGGTCTCCTAATCTACTGTCACCCTTAAAAGGGACAATATACAAGGTATTTTACTCCCTACCACATGTGTTCGTGCTGTAACTGGAAGCACGTTCGACGCCTGTTCAGGAGGACCGTATTTCGATTCAATGCTCGTGCACTGGACATTTTTCACGTCCCTGCACTGAAATAACTTAATGACTCTAAAGTGTCAACATAGAAATAAAACTAAAATTGAAAATAGGTTTATCCTATTTTAAGCCTAAACTAAACTCTTCAGCCAAAACTAAATTCACTAAAAACATTTTTTTTTTCTTTAAAATAACCCATAAAATTAAGATACAATAACACGCCGAACAAATATTAATTTAGAAGTCAAACAACAAAAATTTGAAAATATAACGCTGATTTTTGTTGTTTGACTTCTAAATTAACCCATAAAATGTTCTATGAAATTTCAAATGTTTGCCATAGTTATTGTGATGCGAAATAAAACTGCATACTATACTTCGATAATACTATTTCCATGACACATAAACTCTATATTTAGTATTTATTTATATTCATATTTTTTATTTATTCACTTATTTCTATCATTTAATTCCTTAAATATGTTTCGTTCTTTTATTAATTTGTACCATAGAGACATTAGGTTTTTTCGAAGCAGGAGATATGAAAAATGAGGACAGCCCTCACCGGGACTCGAACTTCGGATCTCTCGAATACCCGGCGAGCGTGCTGACTATTACAACACGAAGGCCTGCTAAGAAGGCGGAAGGAATACCTTATGTACTCCCCCTTTTAAAGAGCAACTGGGGATTAGGGAACCCAATCGCCAAATCTTGGGGGTGGAGAATCATCATTCACCATCTTTTTTATTTCAGGCGCTACTGTTGAGTCTATTAGGTTTTTTCGAGCAGGAGACATAAAAAATGAGTAACGCTGTTGCCGGAACTCGAACCTGTCGAAATAGGTGCCAAACGTGCTGACCACGAAGGCATGTAAGAAGGCGAGAAGAAATACCTTGTAATACTTAGAAGAAGGCGATAACATGGCGAAGTAATTTCTCTAACTATTATATCCTCATAGAAAAAAACCTAAAATTGAAAAATAGGCTTATCTTAGTCTAAATCTGAACTCATTTTTAAAAGAACAATGCTTCCCAGTAAATATCGAATGTTCTGCAAGCAGTTGCTTGAAATTACATGCAAACAACGTTGTCTGTGGTAAATATACCTAACAAAAAAGCAATAATTTTTAAAGCATCGCAAGCTTCAAAATCTGTTCCTATGAACATTATGCGGGTTTAATGCATCTAATTGTCCAGAAATATAAAAATTGATTCTGTTGAATACGGAAAATCTGAGATAGCAGTTTTAGCACAAACTATCCAAAGCCAAATTACATTTGAAAATTTTGGACATATGTTTATAAATACTTTTATGAGACGTATTCATAAGCGCTACGCATGCATTAAGTAACAAAAGTATATAACATAATAGCATATGATCTTTATTTAAGTGCAGCATTCATACGATCGTATAAATTTACCCTTTCGTACAGCTCGTATTCGGATTCAGCACTTTTGCAATTTGCTTGATGTTTTTTTACTTACACAATATATAGCTTCAGCTGCATAAAAATGTTTTCTGTACTTCCCTCTCAAATGCGGGGTTTGCATATTTTAAACTTTCCCTATTCCTTCCTTTTAAAATTTCAGTTTCTACATACGAGAAACCCTCACTTTGAATACAAGATACTGGTCTGGAAACACCATTTGCGATTTTGATATTAGTCCAAAATTCTGCATTAAAGGCGAAAGTAGGAATGTGTTGGAAATATGTAACATTATGGTGAAAATAAATGTTTACTTTTTTCAACCGACACTGAGTGAATCTAATACATCAATATTATTTGAAAAATCAAATTTTGCCAGTTCAGCTGTATTCTAATTAAAATTTTCCTCTGCCGTAATTAAAATTTATACATATATATGTTGTAAAATGTGCTTGGATTAATAATAACCGATTCTCAGCAGAGAAGATATTAAAACTGAGAAAGTTCATGAACGAGAAATCAAAGCATCTCTGTCATGCCATACGGAATAATGCTTGCTTTGATGAGCCATCAAATGGCTGCACCAATGGTACTTTCCTGAATACCTAAGTCCAGTTATTTATTCCCGGCCTAAATCGCGAGATATTAACATTTCAAGCTCATGTATTATACCGTTAATTAAATCTGACCGTTATGCATTGGACTTATTGGTTAAAATGCCCTCTCTTCTCTCATCGCCCTATTGGAATATTGACTTGTGTGTCTGGGACACCATAGACTATTGAAATAATTCAGCTTTCACTACGCTTAGATTTAAATCTGCTAAGGTATAGATTCAAGCACTGGCGATATTATTACAAAAGGTCTAAATTGTTTCAAACATAGTCATTTCGTTTGCGCCAATGACTGCAGTCTTTCAATTTATATTTCTTCGAGATATTCAGTAGCTTTCCAAAAGATTTGTAAATGGAAATTATTTACCTTTTCACTGCGTCAAAATTAAGCAATAAACATTAGCTGAAATCACTCAAATTTTTAAACTGTGCTTAGAAATCAATTTAAGAAATCTGAAGAATCCATAAATAGGAATGTTTAGAATATAAGGACTGGACGAAATGTAAAGACGAAGAGATGATGGGAGCTACAACATTATTTTTGGAATAAAATTTTAAAAAAAAAAGTCTGAAAGATCCCATATTTAATAATACGCGCAAACGCGCGTTTTTTTTTATTTGTACTCACATACACATTTCAAGAGCATTTGGGCTAAAATTACTTCAAAATTGTATGCCTCTGGAGTTTCCGAAAGACCGTTTTGCACGCTGGAGACAAAAATATTTCATTCCGTACATTGCGTTGCCACTGCTCGCTTTGGAATCACTCAGTGTCTTAAAAAAATTCGTTAAGGTTTAAAAATAATTGAAATATGTAATAAAACATATTCGAAATTCAAAGTTCGGGCTTCCAGGTGCCCATTTCCGGGTAGACAAGAAAAAACACTTTATCAGGAAAAATTAACAGACAAGCAGACAAGAAATGACATTTCCGAAAAACACTTCTGGTAGAGGACTACATTGTTCAAAATTTGATTTCTTTAAGTATTTTTTCACAATGCGTGAAACATACATACATTCATGCAGCTTCTTCATTATTTAGTTTTTTATATATAATACAGGTCGATAATATTGGGTGGCTACAAGTTAAAAATGATACATCACATTCAAGTGATTTGACGCAAAATGCCGTTTCGAATCTAATAGCACTTTGGCCTAACACCCCTTTAATTAATAACTAGCATAATAAACGTAACTATTTCTTAATAATTATTTATATGTCCTTAATGATGGGGTTAAGATATAAATGAATAAAAGTGTATTTTTTGGGAATGCAATATTTGTATGTGCTTCCAGAAATTAGATTTCAGCTAGAAAATTTAAGAACATACATTCAATTATCTGTGAATAATGGTATAACTAAACATTATAAATAAAGTAAAAAAAACACACAAACACACGCACGTGAAATTGCACATGCATAGGCTATTTTTATATCTATATATAGTTTCGAACGTTAAAAGTTACAATTTAATGAGGGAAGCAAAGATATAGCTCATCAGAATATGACTTCGCAGTTTTTTCTCACCTTTCACCTTGATAATACTTACACCTTGTTACCTTGCACCTTGTTAACGGGCATATACACTTTTAAATAATTGTTCTATATAAATGAAGAAGTGGTTCATATATTCTTTAATAAGTTGAATATAATGTATTATACTAATATTAGATGTTTTAAAAGCACGTTTTCTTAAGTAATTATGGGTTAGAAAGTACGTTTATATAACAGACAAGAAAAACACTTTCTGCAAGTTATTAAGTACTCAGTTTGACATAAACTAAAAGATTTCTTAAAGTTCTTCATTAAAGTATAGGTAATTACCATTTAATAACGGAAAAACACCATAATTTAATAATTTTAATAATCCATAACCACCTTTAATAACTGAAAATAACAAAAAGGATGAAACACTGGCCTGGTTTAAAAAATAAATGAAAAAGGCAAATTAAGGAAATTTGAAAGGTTTCAGATTTTAACGGTCGCCCAAAGGCGTTTATTGATGCTTTTTACGTTCTCCTTGAGTTCCTAATTTACCAGTCTGATACTATGCAGAGTCTTATTAAACTTGTTTTTTGTCTTTTAAGCTTTATCAGCTCAGGGGTCATTTTTTTCGCACTTACGCCATAAACAATTCCACAACAAAATTGAAAAAAATATAAAAACAACATCAGTGTGCATGCAGAATTCCGGATGCAGCATTACGTGTTGGCATACATTTTTCTGTTTTTCAGTCTTTTTAGTTCATCATGTAAATGTTCAGTTTTCTTACTTAAGATGGCTTTACAAAACGTTTGTCTTTTTATTATTAATGTTTGTGTATTTACTTTAATTATTAAATATCATATTCTTTGCGCTTACGCCACATAAAATTCGATTATACAGCAAACTCACGAAGTATTTTAAAAGAGCATATCTTTAGATTTTTCAATAGACAGTCTCACGCTGGAGTTAATAATGTTTCATTCTGTACAGTGTTGCCATTGCTCGGTTTGAAATCATTGAATTTGATAATCAAAATTTCGTTAAAAGTTTACAAAATGTAGGCAATGAAACAAATTCCAAATTCTGGTTTCTAGTTGCCCATATTCGTGTGGAGGAAAACGCTATTCAAAATTTGATGGCTCTAAGTACCGTTATTTTTTCACAATGCAAAAAACATACATGAAATAATGCAGATTCTTAATTATGTAATTTCTATAAATATAAGACAGAGCGATAATATTTGAAGGCAATAATTTGAAAACTGAAACATACATAAGAGCAAACCGACGCAAAATACCGTTTTAGACTAATAGCTCTTCTGGACTAACGTTTCTTTGAGCTAATAAACGAAAATTGAAAAAAGGACTATTCAAAGGCTATTATTCTCGTACTTGTTTTCTATACAGAAGTTTTACTGTAAGTATATTAAGAAGAAAAATATCCATAAATAGGGTTCAATAACGTAAAAACATTGCATTGCAAATTAACCTACTGGTCAAAAACAAACAAATAAATAAATGGAAATTGCTTCAAAGTTAAGCCAGTCATTTAAACCAGTTGCACTTGTTTTCTACAGAGCCTTTGTACCGTAAGTATATTAAAAATTAATGAATGCTAATACGAAAACGAAAACAATTAGTTCTTTTCTTAAGTTATATTTGGCACAGCGCTAAGAAAGAAAAACAACAACATCCAATTGATCAGAAAATTAGGAGGGAAGAATGAAACACATCTTTCGTTTCAAATAAGAAAGAATATTAAAATAAAATTTTTCATATCCATTTACGGCTTGCATTTACAAAGACTAAACTAATTTAATTGCTTCATTCGCTTAAAATGAATCAATTAGCAATCACAAGAGAACTTTTCTTTTAAAAATAATCTTTTTGAATTTTTATTTTGTATTTATGCCAGTTAATAAAACTAAAATATTTATAATAGGGAAGTTACCATTTACTACAAGTTGAGAAGTCATATTCGTGGATGTTGCACTATTGGTTGCTATGCAAGTGTATTGCCCTCTATCGCTAGCCTTGATTTTGCGAAACAGTATCACAGAAGAATCTTCCAGTAATTGTACGGATACTTTTCCAGAAGCCACAAAAGGAAAGCCGTTCTTCAGCCACTTAAATCTGATAGGAGGATCACCGGTTGTTACACTGCATATAATCTTTGCCCTTTCACCTTCATTGGCAGTTACAGTATCAGGAAAATACAGAGCGTCTATTACTGGAGCAACTGAAAGAAAAATGTATATGCGAAAATAGGAGTAGAACTTCAAAACCACAGATGCAATTTTAAATTTCATTTTAAAGATCATTTAATAAATAAATAATTAATTACTATATTTAACATTAATTACTATTATGCCCAAGCAAAAATGTTTAATAGTAATTTTAATCATTCTAATCACTTATTTTAACGTTTAATTAACCATATTTAGCGTTATAATGGGAATGTAAAATTAATTAAGGCTTTATTAAAGCAATAAAATATTTAAGCGGTGTGAAATGCTTGTTGTATTTTTTTTTTTTTTTTTCAGTTCAATAAGACAGCCTTTTTCCAGCAGTAAAAATTTTTTATCTTGATTTTTGAGGTAAATTCGCTATCTGCGCAATTCTGCTTTTCCTTTTATATATTAAGAGGAAATTTACTTACACTTCCACTTTTAGTTGCATTTAATTGAAAAACGAAATCATATTTCTCAATAGATTCCATTGCTTTCTTAACTATCCGTAACAAACCAAAGATAAATATTCCTTAAAATTCTATATTTTGAATAGACTCCACGATAAGAATTTCAGTTTTGCATAATTATTTGAAATTTAGTTAAATACGGCTTCTCTTATAATTTTAGGCATAAAAGGTTCAAATATCAATAATAAGAAGTGTAATAAATCCATATTTTGATTATTTTTTACAATAGCGTACAAGTATTTTAATATTGATAATCTTTATTCAGTGAAATTTTATACGCCACATAATTTAATAAAATTCCTAAATGGTTCCTTCTTTTGGCTTTTCATCCATAACGGGATTCGTCTTTAATAAAAACCCTGTACTATCATGAGCAGAGTTTTCTAAATTACTTGAACTCCACTAGTGGCCGAGTACTTAAAGAAAGCTAAATACCGGATTTTCGGCCGTGGTTCAAGCCCAGTTTAATGAACTAACTTTATGTTTTTTTTTTTTTTTTAATTTTTATTTTTAACTTAGCGTTTTTATGAACGTTTTTAACAGACGAAAAAAAATCCTTTTAGAATTTTAAATTAAAAATGTAACTGTTTTCTAAGTTAGGATTCAAAATTAGAAAAGTCATAAAATTTTAAGTTCCCAGGTCATTTTCAAGAGATGAAAAATTCAATTATCCCACCTTTATCTGTAAATGATGAATTGCATTTTCTGTTTCTTTAATAAATGCTTGAAAGTAAGGAAATTTTAATTTGACTAACTAATTCGATTTTATTTTCCTGCTAACGTATCATACCTCCATTTCTTTAAAATTCTTAAGCCCCGAACAATCTCAAGAATATGTAAAGTAAGAAGGAACAATGAGTTCTAGTTAATTTGAGAATGTACTTATATATGTAACATTTTTAGAATTATGCCACTACTGTGTTATTTTGGGACGACATATGATTTATGGAGAGAGATTTGACTCAGATAAGTAGTGTTACAAATGTCCAAGTGTTTTACTTGTCACTGTATGTTATAACGTCTTCATATTTAGTATCGTTTTTAACTAAATAATTTTTGAACTATTGAAATACAATATAAGAGGTCGAAAATACTGATAAACATTAAGTGTATGGGACACACTATGTATAAATGATCCATGTGCAAATTTCTCCTCCCATAAAATTATGCACTTTGTTTGTTTAAAAGTTGAACATTTTCCACATAATTTATTATATACGCGTGTAAAAGTTAAGTACAGCAACTGAAGAAACCTAATTCCGAACCCTTCCTCAAAGTAGACGGCCTCCATCTTCAGAAAGAAATCAAATCCAGGATTTACATCTATCCTACTTTCTTTAATTCAACATGTAATATATATGCATTAATAATTATCTAGTAATATCTGAAAATATGGTTAAAAATAAACAACCTGTTTTGGTAAATTAGAAAGTATATGCGTTATTAAGCGTTTACATTACGAGTAAATTTCGCAAACGTTTTACGGATGCATTTCAAACCTCATTTCCAAGAATTGCTATTCAAGAAAATTCAATGTATTTCCGCGAATGCTATGTATTCATCCCTTTTATATCAAAAATTGCAAGGAGGAGACACTTATCCAATGCGATGCAGATTTTCGATCAACTGAACGGCAGAAGCAGAGTGCTCTCGAGTTCCAAAGATCAAAGCTATCTTCCAATATTGCACACTTCAATCCGCTTTAAAATATGAACTTACGCAGCACATTCAAAATAAACAAACTCTTCATGATAAATGGGTGTTGTCATCGAGTCTATGATAACTTTGCGGATGCGGTGCCGATGGACATATCGCCGATGAAGGAGAACACGAAAGCAAGCTTAAAATGGTTTGGTCACGCACGCAGGACGGAGATTTATCGCAGCACGCGATCGTACATTATGGTGGTTTCCTAAAGTTTTCTAAGTTTTCTGATACCGGAATGAGAAGGAAATTAATAACTACATATAGCTTGCTATTATGCGTAGATAAAAACGTCTTTCTCAGAATAATTGTAATATCTGTTTCTGGCCAAACAAGAAAAGTAAGAAAGTTTTTTTTTCTTCTTCCTAAAACTCAGGTATGAAATGTTTTGAAGGCGGTTTCGAATTGAAATTAAACCTAATAAAAAATGGCAAATAGAAGACGAACTGATGATCATACGATTTAAAACAATTAAATTTTAAACCTTACAAAATCGATTCACTGAATTGAAGCTGTCAATAAAATATTTAGTTATCAATAAAAAAGAATGCAATTTAGAAAACTCTAATAAGGGTCACAAATATACAAGAAATAAGATTACTTATTTCTGAGTCTCGTAATATTATAAGTTAAAAACTCATTTATTAGAATATAAGCTTTATAAATGTCCAGAAAAATTAGGAATCGAATGTACTACAAATCGAATATATTTAAAACCTATCATGCAGATGTATTTTATAAAATAAAATACCGAAACTAAAAGAAATGGATTATTTTTTTTTTCAATTGCTCAGTTTGTTAAGAATGATTTGATGGCAGTCTGAAAAGTAACTGTGAGTGTGGAAGATAAATTAAATAACTTATGTGTTAGGGAATGGTAATATTTGCCAGATCGTGTGTATGATACTCTTAAATGGAAGATAAATTAAATAACTTATGTGTTAGGGAATGGTAATATTTGCCAGATCGTGTGTATGATACTCTTAAATGGTATCATCTCGGGATGTAATATTACACTTCCTTGAATACTCCTCTGAAGATAGTCAAACATCAAAATGACATCATCGACACAACGAAGTGCAGTTTCAAATATGCGAATTTTTTAATCTGATAAAAAAGCACGTGTACTGCAATACCAGATGAATGTGCTGCTTCCGCGCGGTAGTACTCTCACTTGTCTGACCGTGCGGTAGTACTCACAAGCTGTCTTGCGCAAAATTTCAAAAGAATAGATACATCTTTATATATATAAGAGGCTAAAGTGTGTGTCGCCGATAGTTTATTGTTGCCACTTGGAAAAATGAGGGCGAAAATTAACGTTTCCGCAGTTTTTAATTAATATCTCTGCCGATTTAAGTCGTACGAAGTTGAGAATGGTATCGTTGGATTCGGAGAATTTTTTTTGGAATCCCAGGATATGCGTCTCGAATTTCAACTCAGCGCCGTTCCATAGATATTCGAGAAAAAAGAATTTGGCACGTAGCCAAATCCTTCTAATAGGGAAAAACAAAGAAAGAAAGCGGAGAATGTAGGGGAAACGTAGGGGAAAATTAGTTTTTAATTGATATCTCGGCTAATTAAAGTCCCAAGAGACGCAAATGGTCAAAATGGCGTGCCACGGACCTGCGGAATCCAATGGTGTACTTCGCTAAGCCCGAGAGGCAGCCGTTTCGGAGGAGATGATGTTACTTCATCCCATATATATAACCATCTCAAGAATATGTAAAGTAAGAAGGAACAATGAGTTCTAGTTAATTTGAGAATGTACTTATATATGTAACATTTTTAGAATTATGCCACTACTGTGTTATTTTGGGACGACATATGATTTATGGAGAGAGATTTGACTCAGATAAGTAGTGTTACAAATGTCCAAGTGTTTCACTTGTCACTGTATCTTATAACGTCTTCATATTTAGTATCGTTTTTAACTAATATCATATTTAGTAGCGGCTTAAGTGTCTGTTTGTCACTGATAGTTTATTAGTTGCTTGCGTAACTGTACTAGGAGTGAAGTTGCCACGGCACAAGGTTGCCGTTTCAATTGAGAAGTAGACAGTTTCCTGTAAAACTTGCCTTTGCTATGACCATCCATAAGTCTCAGGGCCAAACGCTTAAGCGTGTTGGCTTATTTTTTTTTAACCTGAGCCCGCATTTGAACAGAGTCAACTTTATGTTGCCTGTTCAAGAAGTTCGTGAACCATTATTAATTTTACGTTCGTTTACGTTCGTGGACGGAATTAAATTAATAATTGATGGTCCTCTGCAAGGCGAGCTTAAAAGTAATGATGAAAAGATCTACACAAGAAATGCTGTGTACAAAGAGATCTTTGACATGTGAATTAACATTTTATTATTTAAATCACCTGTATTTATTGAGCTAGCAGTGTCTCTTAAGAAATGTACCGCCAGTGGTTTCCTTCATTGGACTCTACTTTGAGCAATTAAGCAAGTAGAAGGGGCAGTAAGCAAAGAGGCGTCCTCACCGCCTACCCTGGGTAATATAAGCGAATTCTACCAATCAGGACTGCCAAGAAACTGCAAGGCATTACGTGGTGGACTAGGCAGCTGAGACAAATGCGCTAAAGGTGCAGAGCGTTACGTCGCCGTCTCCGAACGGCTGTAGACGACACAGAAACAGAAAGGTTGCTAACTGCATTCCGACAAGCACGGGCTACTTATAAAAAAGCAATTCTAGAAGCCAAAATCAAAAGCTGGCGCAATTTTTGTACCAGCAATAGCAATCCTTACGGAATCCTGCATAAACTGGCCACGCCGAAAATCTTCCAGCCGGCACAAGTGCCAGTGCAGCCAGGTAATCTACCACAAACAATTGA